ATGGAGGATATTTTGAAAAACAAAAAGAGTTAGATAACGAACGGTTAATGATATTTTAGATCTACATCTAATATCTTTTAAATGCACGTAATGTTTCAGAATTGGAAAAACAATGAATAAGCAGGATTCTATTAATTGAATTGAAAGGTAATGAATGATTGTGTAATTATCAATTCCGTTAGCATCTCTTATTAATATTAACCGTTTGTTTTGCTTGTCCATAATAATAAGGTTGGGGTGTAAATTGTAAGTAATATATACTATTTAATACAAGTTTGAATTTCAAATTTAACTTGAATCATCATCCATCATATAATTAATTATATTACGATAAAAACTGACCTCTGGACAGCAAAAAGTAAAGACAATAGTTATATATGAATAATTGGACATTGATTGGTTAACCAAAAAAATTTGACCAACTAATAGTTGACCAAATGGGATTTTTTTGACCGATTCCAATCTTTACATCGACTAGGGGATCCCAACTCCATTACCTATTAACATGTAAATAGTGTTCAATAATGCGTTGTATCTACAATTTCACAGCTACTCGCTCATTTTTAATTATTATCGAATATATAGAAACGGTGTTACACTGTACCATCATGTGATCTACTTGGCGCAGTGATTTGATTAAAAAAAAGATTAAAATTTAAAAACTTGATACTTGATTATAATATTAAAAAATAAAATGTCAACAGGTTTTTTTTCAATCAAATTACGATTTTTTATTCTGATTAAATTTAGGCATTATTAATGATACTTGTATATATACTGTGGAATTAGAAAAGCTCAATGTCCTTTTGATTGGCTCTGGAGGTCGCGAGCATTCTATTGCTTGGAAACTTGCTCAGTCTTCAAGAGTTGAACAGATCTATGTTGCTCCAGGTATAATGTATTTAAAATACATTTATTTGTTTTTTACTTTTATATTTTAATATTAAAAAAAAATTTTCAATAGGGAATGGAGGAACAGAAATAGGAAATAATAAAATTTTTAATGTTAACATTGATATCAGTGACTTTGCAAATTTAACAAAGTTTTCATTGGAGAATAATGTAATAGAACCTATAAATTTCATTTATCACACGTTTAAAATTATCGATTGATTATTTACAAGTTTTATATCATATATATATATATACATAAGATTAATCTGGTTGTGCCAGGGCCTGAACAAGTAATTATTGATGGCATAGAATCAGCTTTTAAAAAAGGCGAGTTGTACAAAGTTTAATATTTTTTTTTTGATCATTTGAAATATTTAATTAATAATCGAGTGTTTTTTTTTGGGTTTAGTTGGTATTCCATGTTTCGGACCATCAACAAAAGCTTCTATGATGGAGGGCTCTAAGACCTTTGCAAAAGATTTCATGGAAAAGCATAAAATTCCTACAGCTGCATATAAGGTTATTATTCAAGTATTCTTCCTAAAAGTCTTTTTATTAATAAATATTTATTATGATTTATTTTACAACTACTATAGAATTTTTCAAATTACGAAAAGGCAAAAGATTATTTAGAATCTATTTCACATAATATTGTAATTAAGGTAAGTAAATCGTTAATAAAATTGATTTTTTTAAAAAATATTAATTTATTAACACCATTGTTAACTATAAAAAAAGGCTTCTGGTCTTGCCGGTGGTAAAGGTGTTTTGATTCCTACAAATAAAGAAGATGCATTAAATGCATTAAAAGTAATAATGGTGGATAGGATTTTTGGCTCTGCTGGTAAATTATCACAGATTGACAAATGTTGTTGAAATTTAGAATTGTTTTTTTAATCAATAACAACAACAACATTCTAATTTTTTATATTTGGACTTTTTTTTTTGTTTAAAGGCGACGAAATTGTCATTGAAGAATTTCTTGATGGAGAAGAATTGAGTATATTAACTTTTTCTGATGGATATACCATAGTATCTCTTCCTCCTGCACAAGATCATAAAAGAATTTTTGATGGTGATCAGGTATATATATTAAAATCTTTTTCTTTTGTAAAAAAGTAGTAATAAATTTTTTTAAAAAAAGTAATGTGTGATTTTTACGAATGAATATATTTATTATAGGGGCCAAATACTGGTGGAATGGGTTGTTATTGTCCAGCTCCTATTGCAACTCCAGAACTTTTACAACAAATAAATTCTACAATACTTCAACCTACTATTGATGGACTGCGTCATGATGGTAGTTAGGAATATTATTTATTATTATTATATAAATATTTTTTTAATGATCTTGATTTTTTTGAAATTATTGCATCGCAGAATTTCTTGTTTATATATTTCAAGATATTATCAGGTTATCCATTTGTTGGCATGCTTTTTACTGGTTTGATGGTAACTGGAGATGGACCTAAAGTACTAGAATATAATGTTCGTTTTGGAGATCCTGAAACAGAAACAGTCTTGCCATTATTGAGTGATGATACTGATTTAGCTGAAATAATGATGGTTGGTGAACATAAAAACTTTAAAAAATTTTTTTTTGAAAATTAAAAAAATTATATATATATAAATTTAATAAGAATCGATATTCAATTTATAGGCATGTATTGAACGTAGATTGGATTCGATTAAGATCAATATCAAACCAGGACATTCTGCGACTGTTATTATAGCATCGGGTGGTTATCCTGGTAGCTATGCTAAAGGGAAAGAAATTACATTTCAAAATCTTCAATCTGGTAAAAATGAAAAACAAATTATTTCATGGAAATGATTTTTTAGATACACCTAATCACTAATCACTAACAATCTTTTGTTTCAAACATTCATTCATTCATTTATTTATTTACTGATAATAGACACATTAATTTTTCATGCTGGTACAATTAGAAAAAATAATAAACTAGTTACTTCTGGTGGACGTGTATTAGCAGTTACTGGAATTGCTTCAACATTAAGAGATGCGGTTGATAAAGCGTATAAAGATTTAAAAAATATTAATTTTGAAAATATGTATTATAGAAAAGACATCGCACATCGGTAATCATTATAAATTATTTGACATAAATTTATATTATATTATGTATATATATATATATAATAAAGAGATTAATTTATGACTTGTAAATAAATTACTTTTTTTCTTTTCTTAGTGCTTTTAAACATATCTCGAACAATCCATCTGCTAACAGTGAAGAGGTAATGACATATGCATCTGCTGGTGTTTCTATTGATTCAGGAAATTTGCTCGTTCAAAAAATTAAATCACTGGTAAAGAAAACCGAAAGAGTTGGTTCCAATTGTGAGCTAGGAGGATTTGGTGGTTTGTTTGATTTAAAGGCTACAGGCTTTAAAGATCCAATATTAATAGCCACAACAGATGGTGTTGGCACTAAATTGAAAATTGCGCAAGAAACAAGAATTCATAATACAATTGGTTAGTTGGCATTTTCCTCTCCAAAAAAAAAAAAAAAAGAAAAGGAGAATAATTGAATTTTTATTTAATTGTTATTATTATTATTATTTTTCTTTTAGGAATTGATTTGGTCGCAATGAATGTTAATGATTTAATTGTTCAAGGCGCTGAACCTTTATTTCTGCTTGACTATTATGCATGTGGAAAATTAAATGTTGATGCTGCCAAGAATGTGGTTGAAGGCATTGCTAACGGATGCCATGAATCTGGATGTGCTTTAATTGGAGGTGAAACTTCAGAGATGCCAGGAATTTACAAAGATGGTAGTTTAACACACATATCTTTATATATATATAATTTTACTTTTTTTTTCTAATTTAACCATTTATGTCCTCGTGTTATACGTTATACACTATTAAAAATTATTAGAAGAGTATGATTTGGCAGGATTTGCAGTTGGAGCTGTAGAACGTGAAAATCTGTTACCACGTGTGTCAGATATCAAGGTTAACGATATACTTATTGGACTAGCTTCTTCAGGAATTCATTCCAATGGATTTTCATTGATTCGAAAGATTATAACAAAAAAGAATTTAAAATATGAATCAACATGTCCATGGGATTCAAAAACATCATTAGGTAAAAGTCTTCTTACACCAACCAAAATTTACGTTAAACAATTATTACCATTGGTTAAAAATAAAAAGAAACTTGTTAAAGCGATGATTCATATTACTGGTGGTGGTTTTGTGGATAATATACCAAGAGTTTTGCCTGAAAATCTTGGTGTAAATATAAATTCAAAATCATGGGAATTACCTCAAGTATTTAAATGGCTGGCAAGTAATGGAAATATACCATCAGGTATAATTTATTATTATATTTACATGAATTAGATTATTATTGTTGTTGTTATTATTTTAAAAGTAATTATTTATGTTGTAATAATAGATGAATTATATCGAACGTTCAATTGTGGAATTGGAATGGTGTTGATTGTATCATCCGAAAATGAAGGTCAAGTTATAAATCAACTTCAAGAATCTGATAGTGATACCAAGATTTATAAAATTGGACATGTGATTGAAAGACAAAATAATAATGAAAAACGAATTATAATTGAAGGAATCTAATGAACGCATCATAATTAATATATTGTATACAAAGAAATAAATATTTTATCAAAAAATAAATAAAGATCACGATTAAATTTTATATATATGTGATATTTGATATATATGTTTATATTTATATTTATTTGTATTTACAAAAAAAAATATTAAATTAATAATATAATAATGAAAATTGTGATCACTAAATTATATATGATATCTATTGATAACATTTTTTTTTTTAGATTATAAAAAATTTTGAAATGTGAGTGATTGAATGAGAATGTATAAAATTAGAAAATTAGGAAAATTAAATTAAATTAAAAATTAATTATACATATATATATTATATATACACACCGATATATATATATTTTTTTAAAAAAAAAAAAAAAAGAATTCTAAAGAAAAGCACTTTTTTAAAATAAAAATTTTTTTTGATGCTATATATTAAATGTTAATTTGATGATGATGACATTAAAAAACCAAAAATTATATATATAAATCCAAAAATTATACTATCCCAAAATGTTGTTGTCATTAAGTGACCACTGTTTAGTCTCGTTGCCATACTTTGTTGGACATACGGGAAATTTTGCATCGGATTGCACAATAAATTTTGATTTGGATTCAAGTTTAACGAGTTTAAATCCATATATCCATAACTTGAATTTGCTATGTTAGGTAACAACGGGCATTTAAAATTAAAAATTGGAGGACATGATCTTGACACATTATAACATAAATCAACACAAGGAGGTGTCTCTATATAAGGACCAGGTCTCATCGTCTCATCAATTTCACTTACACGGCTGTCATTAACGTTTCTGATAATTCTTGTTGCTAATTCTATATCAGCACAACGTGGAATTGTTACTGCGCATATCCAGTCTTTATAAGCCTCACTACAATGACTACAATTTTTAACTAATGAATAATTTGAATTATCACATGGAAATAAATCTAGTGCGTTTGTAAAATTTTTGTAATATTTAGTTGAAAGCTCGTCGTAAAATTCCGTTATACGGTCTACCGGAATACCCGGATTTGCCGGTACTGCATATGCGACTTTATCACAAAATCCAAGTCCGCTAATCAATTTACAATTATTTTCTATTTAATTATAAAATATGAATATAAAAAATAAGAATTAATATACAATTACTTTTCAAAAAAAAAAAAAAAGAAAAAGAGAAAAAAAAACTTACGTGGTTTGGTTCTGAATGATATAGGATTCCAAGATCTCAATAAATTTTGATTCTGCTGCTGTGTCACAAAAGCAACATAATTTGTCCCATTCGCTATGTTATTCAATTGTAATGACATTCTTTTATTTGTCCCTGAGCTGCCCCTTGACGTAAAGTTGATAACAGCGGCGGTGGTATTTTGTGGAGCAGATTGATATGCACATAATGATTTTGTGATTCCTTTTAGCGGTGGCTCTTCAACGTAATATAATTTATAACTACTTGTATCAAAATTGGTATCACTAAAAGTTTCAACGCTTGCAAATAAGGCGGTTGAATTATCAGTATCTTCCAAAAAAAAACCATTATCTTGTGGATAGTAATGCAAAGGAACTGTTTTGTTGTTGTTTTTTTATATGTTAGCATCTAATATAGAATAAATATCAAAAATTTAAATATTAATATAATAAACTTTTAAAACATTACCTTTTGATGAGACTCCAATTTGAAAATTATAATCCCCTGCAAATGCCGCGTTAAATGTAGGAGCAAAAACTCCTATGTATAGCACATTTTCCTCATAATTTGTTAAATTTTTTGATGCAAACCCATAATCCCAATTAATTGGGTTGCTATTACTATCGTCTGCACTTGGTACCGAGTAATTAGAATAAAATATTTGTAATGTTTCCGATATTGTGTTATTTTCAGCTGAAAGCGGTTGTTTACAAATTGTCAACGTTATAAATATATTATTTGTTATCAGATTATTTTTTACAATTTGTGAATTATCGGTTTCCAATGATGTCTTTTCTGTTGATATATCTCTCCTAATGCTCCTTAGCAGTACATTTCCTGTTTGACTAACATTATACATGTAATGAATTGTTTGTCCAGATTTTATAGTTGCATTTGATATTATTGAATCAAATAACTGGATGGTTATAGGGCTCTGAGCTTTGATCGATATTATCCTGACGTAACATATTATTATGAAGCTTAGTAATACTATATAGTCATTTGTAAATTTTGTCATTACAAAGATATATTTTTTTAAAACCTATAACCAATATGATGTATTTTTTCCTATTTTAATCTTTTTTTATTATAATTTTGGTAAATAATATGTATAATATATTCTTTCTTTTAACAAAAAGAAGATTTAAATTAATGAAATTAACTGTGAAGAGAATAATTAATTTTTTTTGTAATAAACCTATTACTCTTTTCAACAAAGATCGTCATATTTCTTGTGCTTGTCCAAAAACTAACAAATTCGTCCAACAAATGCCTTGGCACAAATACAGACACAATATCTATTTTCTCCGAAAATAGAAACGGTTCGTAACCCACAAGAAAAACATTCATTATTGTTGTAATTATTATATTTCTTAATCAAAAAAAGGAAAGGACCTATATAATTATTAATATGTAACAGAATTAAAATGATTCATACATATCAATAATGTAGTAGGATATGACCATTAAAACGCCAAAGTACCTCACCGTTACAGTGGTAATGATCATAGATGATTACAATCAAAATATCAGGCAAATAACTGATGTATTGGGCGAGGTTAGACTTTCGATTTACTATTACGTTCGTTGTCATTATTATTATTATTATTATTATTATTATTATTATTATTATTATTATTATATTATTGAAATTTTATTCACGTGCTTGTTTTTAGATGTTAAAGTTATTGGCTCTTGTTGACTTGCACACTAATAATTTATTATGAACGGCGATAATCATTAATTGCTTATAACGATATATCAGCAGCTTCGGTGTTGATGTTTCAATACGCGGAATTCGCGGATGTAACATTATTATCCAATCAAATTTCAAGTTTCCGAAGATAGTTTCTAAATTTGTACTAGTTACACAACAAAAAATTCTTAAAATTTTTTTTTGAATGTGCGAGTCTTGGCAAAATGTGGTTAGTATTAATACTAGGAACATTATAAATTTTTTTGAGTAATGGTCCCTGCAAAATTATGTTACACGTGTTTTTGAAGTCTTGTATCTCATTATTGTGCTAAAGCAAACATGGTCTGATTTTCTCAACAGTTGTATATAATAGTGCTCCATGTCGAAATCCAAAAAAGGAAACAAAATGGTTGTAAAGGTGGTTGTAACCAGTGATTGCAATCATTTTTATATGACGCAAAGATGGTAGCAACCATCAAAAGTTGTAGCCGGTATCCTTAGTATATATATAATCCTTATAATAATAGATACACACTCCTGGTCAAAAATATAAGGACACTTGCAGATCATCAAAAATAATTATAACTGAATAAAGTGACATGCAAAAATTTTATTATTCCAATCGTATTTGCTTATCAAGTAAAAATGGGGCATACCAGACAAAGTGAACATTGGTATTACAGGGATCAAAATTTAGTATGATTTTAGTGTGATTAGTTTTATAATGTCTCTATCTTAAGTGATATATAGAATTACCCCTATATAAAAATAGCTAATATGAAATTAATTTACATCAAATCTACCATGGAACCCAAGAATTATAGTATAATCAGAAGTATTTAAAAGAAGAGCAAAGAGAAAAAATTGTTCCTTATGTTTTCAAATAAATGATACTCAGACACTGGAATCTTATCTGAGGAAAGGGGTCTGATTCATTTCATCAACAATCATTTCGTTGAAAGTTTGTTTCACTGAAAGTTCATTTTGTTGAAAATCATTTCATCACAAAAATTAAACAAATTTCTCCTCACACTTCCCATGCACTCTGCTTTCCTCACCTAATTTCTTAACTAACTTCTCACACTCCTCACATCTAACTTGTTTGGTCTCTGGCTTGAGGATGAAATAATTTTTGATGAAATGAACATTTGACAAAATGAAACAAACTTTCAATGAAATGAACTTTTGATGAAATGAACTTTTGATGAAATGGGTGTCAACAAAATGATTGTTGACAAAATGATTTTTGACTAAGTAAATGCAACCAGTTTGGGGAATCTACCACATCTATTGCACTTTGACAATTCATCATCCCAATACTTTTCTTCACATCTTTCACAAACCATGTCATC